CAAATTGCGCCCCCCCCCCCCAGCGTATCCTGGTTTTCAAGTACCCCAGCAGGGATAGGGTTAATATAAATAGACAGACCTGTAGATAGAAAATTATACGTAAAACAATACAGATAAATTATTAACTTGACAAACCCTAAGATAGATAGACAGACATAAAAAATACACGTTCTCATTCTGTTTTATTACAGTCTGATAAAATGAGAAAACGGCAATCATTGTTACTTTAATGGTAAAGATGTTATAAAGATTTTAAGAAATAAGAAAAGTAAAGTTTTTAAAAAATGTAAATGTAAATTATATATTTTTTTATTATAAGTAAAGAAGTCTCAATATTCAGATTCTATTATGTGAACAAAAAAACCTGGTGGGAGGGGGGGGGATTGGTAATTTTCAAAGGTATTTATGAGTAAGTACAGTTATTTAGGATTATTTATCCATAATTGATCAAATAAATCCAACAATTTTATATTTTTACTCACCATGAACTCCTAGTTTGATGACAGGTGTCTCCCTTGTAGCAGCAATATTTTCAGCTAAACATTGATACCGTCCTGAAATATACTTTTTGTCATTATTTTTTTTATTTTTCAAATTAAAACTTTTAAAAAAAGTAAAAAAATATTGAATCTGAGTTGAAAATTTATGAATGCGATTCAAGTTGAAATGGGTCAACTCTTGTTTTAAACACAAGCGTATTGATTTCTGCAAATGTTAAATAAACTCCTAAATCACATCTTCAAGATGTGTTTAAACTAATGAAATTCCTGCAAAAGAAGTAGTTAAATCAGTCAACTCAAACCCTGTTAAACTATTTCTCCCAATTTCAAAAAGGAATTGAGTCATCAGTCAACTCAAACCCTGTTAAACTATTTCTCCCAATTTCAAAAAGGAATTGAGTCATTGCCACAAACTAAAATTTTTTAATCGCCATTTGATATTTCAAACTTATATTATTTATTCTAATCTAATTTATAGTTTGAAATATCTAAGATCCTCGACATTGGGTTACAAAGATACTAGGATTCGAAAATTAGAGTTTGTGGCAAAGACTCAATTTCTTTTCCATGTCTAAACTTGCCTGCGTCTGATTTCTGCACTGTTTTAATAGAAAGAATTTCTCCTTCTCCTTCTACTCTTTCGGAGAGTTCGAGAACTTTTCCATCCTAAACATTTAATTTAGTTGTACAAAAATGCAACTATGCAAATGATAGAAACCGTACAGTGCACCGTACATGTGCTGTACATCTAAAGTGTACCTTCCATTATCGTCACTTATCAACCTCTGTTGATGCTAACTTTGTATTTTCAAATCTGTGTCCTGAAACACTTTCTTTGCTAAAAATTAAGATAAGCTGTGGTAAAGAAAACATATCCACAAAACTCTTAAAAGAGATTATGCCAAATCTAATATCTCATGTAGTTCATATTCTTAATGTATCCTTGAAATCAGGCAATATAACTGAAAGCTATAAATGTGCCAAGGTATACACCTATTTACAAATCAGGAGTTTACAAATTTTACAAATAAGCTTATTATTCTCATCAATATGGATTTAGACCATTTCATGATACTTCACAACCTCTTATACAATTGCAGATAAAATAATAAAGACAATCCTGAATACACAATTGCTATTTTCTAGATCTGAAAATAGTAATTGATACCGTAGATTTTGAGATTCTTTGAAAGAACTTTAATCACTATGGGTTCAGGATCAAAACTAATCTATGGTTTAGAAATTATCACTACTTTATTTGCCGATAATACTGGATTGTTAAATCATCCAATAATCTAGGAACTCTTTTTCAAACAGCGAATCATGAATTTTCTGAAGCATGTTGTTGGTTTCAGGCTAATAAGTTAACATTTAATGTTTCAAAAACCAAATATAATGTATTTAGAAATAAATCTATGCCATTTGATGATCAGGGTTATAATCTCAAAATAGGAAATAAAATTATTGAAAGAATAGGTTCAACTTGCAAAGATAAATATTTCAAGTTTGTCGGTGTTAAAGGAATTGAGTTTTTTCCACAAACTCAAATCTTCTGATCCCAATAAACAATAAAATAGGAAAATTATTTAAACTTCAAAATAAAGCAATATGGACTTTGTCAGATAAAGGATATTCACAGCATACAGATCCTTTGTTTTCTAAACTTGGAATACTTAAATTATCTGATATACATAGATATTCTATTGAAATGGTCTGAGGAATGGTTAATGGTTTTTAATGCCAGTAAGTGCAAAGTGATTCATTTTGGTAAAAATAATCCCAAGTATTCATATACCATGGGAGGATTTGCTCCAGGAGGAACGGTTCTTGAGTCTTCAAAAGAAGAGAAGGATATAGGAGTTATTATCTCAGATTCTCTTAAACCTTCTTCTCAATGTGCAGTTGCAGCTAGAAAGGCTAACCAGGTTCTGGGACAAATGTCAAGATCGTTCCATTACAGGGACAGGTTCACTTGGATCAAATTTTACAAGGTGTATGTTCGACCCTACCTTGAGTATGCAGTGCAAGAATGGTCCCCATGGACACAAGAAGATATTAATCTACTGGAGAATGTGCAACGCAGAGCTCTAAGAATGACGTCAGGTCTGGCAGGTGAAACATATGAGGAAAGATTGATTTAGGTTGGTTTAACCTCTCTTGAGGCCAGACGACTTTGTGGTGATTTAATACAGACCTGGAAAATTCTACATGGATATGATAATGTTGATGAATCTTCTTGGTCCAGCAGAACATGCGAGACAGCGAATAGACTGACAAGGCAATCCAATTGTAGTTTCAATTTAAATATAAAGCAATTCAATTCTAACGTGAGAAAAAACTCTTTTCTGTGAGAGTGATAAACCCATGGAACAGTTTGACAAACTATGCTAAAGAGTCTAAAACCTTAAACATTTTCAAGAACAGTTACGATGATAACGTGAAAAATGTCGAGCATATATAGTGAAAAATATAAAGTTTAAGAATCGCTTTTTATTACCAAAAATGGCATTTAAGCGAAACCAGAACAATATAACAATATAACACAAACATAATGCTTCTACTTTTATGTATAAATATTTAAAAGAAAACCTTCCTCCGTCTTTTTATGGAATAGTTTCTCAATTTGTAGGACCTGATAGGACACAAAGTTTTGAATCGGAATTATTAACCCTATCCCTGCTGGGGTACTTGAAAACCAGGATATGCTGGGGGGGGGTCAATTTGACCCCCCCCCACTAAATATGACAAATGATACATCATTAGAAAGCTCTTGTGCTCTACTTTTAGAATCTGCAAAAAAATTTGCAAATTTGCAAAAATTGAATTTTTTATCGCAAANTATATATTATATATATATAAGATTTTCCTATAACCAGGCCTTGGTTCTTGTTAATTCCCCCTCCCCCTTTTCTTCTAAAATAATCTTCTTTCCATCAATTTTTTAATCTAATTTCAAACCTCTTAAATTAAATTTGAGAAAAATTGAAGGTTTATATGTCAGAAATGGTCTCCAAACTGAATCTTAGAATCTTACTTTTAATAATAATAATCATAATGATAATCTAAATCTTAATCATACCATAATCTTAATTATAATCTTAATAATAATAATGATAATATTAATGATAATCTAAATCTTCATCTTAATCATAATCATAATCTTAATCTTAATCATCATATTAATCTAATCTTAATCTTAATAATAATAATAATAATAATCATAATCATAATCTTAATAAAAATGTAATTTTATCTTAACAATCTTAATCATGTAAACTTAGTTTACCCTGAAATTACCCAAATAAGTGAACGGTCCCTTTAAAAAAATATACTGTCTGTAGAAAAGTTTAGAACCCTACTTAAATTATATTTTTTCTTTTCTTTTCTTTACCTTTACATATTTCCATTTACAAAATTCTTTGAATTTATTAAAGAAAAAGTGGTATACTCAATTTATCCATCACAAAACAATTGTTTTCAAAGAAGAATTTGACGAGAAACCCTCTAACACTAAAATAATAATCAAACAAGAATGATAATATGAAGAAAAAAAAACATTTCAGTCTAATTATAATAAGAAGGAAAAGGCCAATGAATGCAAAATTACTAGTAAAACTTTATGGCCTTGTGGTTCCATTTAAATCAATTTTAGGCTCAAGTATAGAAAATAATATTTATTTTGTAGAGTTACATTTATTCTTCTCAATAATTCCATAAAAGGGAGTTACGATTTAGAAAATGTAAGATTTCAATGTCGCATGAAATTTTATTCTAATCAAAGTGAGTTCAGAGCCACAATCCCCCGAACCCCCTCCCCTCCCTCTGCTCCCTTTAAAGAGAAAATATAGTTTACCTTTTTCCAAACAATGATTGGAACAGGGTTCCCCTTGGGAGGAGAGCAGGTGAACTGTGCTGACCCTCCCACAGCTACATCAAGGTCACGTGGAAGCTCACGGAAATCTCGCTCAAGATCTTTAAAAGTAATAATAATAGTAATAATAATAATAATAATAATAATAATAATAATAATAATGATAATAATAATAATA